AGTTGCTGTTTAAATTTGCCCTGGCTAAAAACAAAGTGAAAAGGAAATTAAGAACATTGATTGAAGATACCAACTCATTTCAGTTAGATGAATTTGGAGAGTTCTTAAGAAATACTGATAGATTGCAGTGCACTGGACTGACAATGATAGGTTGCATATGTAGGTGGGAAAAATTGATGTACTACACATAGGACAAAAAATACCGCGTAACTTGTCACATAGATAATAACAAAGGCTGGAACCAGCCACTCACAGCAGTCTTGGCCTCAGTGGATCTGAGCTCAGTTCTTCATTCACTGCAGGCTGGTGTTACTGACGTCCTCAGAACAACTGCTCAGGGGTCATCTGGCCCCAGAGGTCCAGGCCTGCCTGCCCTCGATGCCCGTGCTTCTGCAAGCAAGCATACGCAACGCTGCTGAAGAGCTGCAGCACAGCAGCGGCAGGAGAGATTCTCCATACCCTGCCCGTGGGCCAAAGAGAGTGGTGAGCCCCATGCTGAAGGACAGAGTTGAGGGCACACAGAAAGTGTCTGGATGTCTGAGGTTCAACTTCCAACCTCAAGGCAGATTTAGTTATTTGTACAAAGCAGAGTGCTTCCGGCGGGAGCGACAGTGATCTTCAGCCAGAATAAACTGCCTCCAGCTGGAGGACTCCAGGAGCTGTAGGAGACAGGTTTCGGCCCCTTCCCTGTTTGTCTCAGAGCAGCCCCAGTTCCCTCCTGTGCTGCTTGTGGGGTAGGTGGCAGCCTCAGTCACCGGGATGCCAGGAAAGCCACCAGTGAGGACTCTCCTTCAACATTTAATCACAGAAAAGTTCAGGTGCACAATTTCAGGAACCTGTTCAGTGCAAGAAAGGGAGCACCCAGTTCTAGCAAGTGAGACACTTGATCTGTGAGCCCCATTCCCTCCCTCTGCATTTCCCCCATTATTTATGGCAACTAGCTCCCTGCACAGCTGCTTTCGGAGGCTCTTACTTCCCCCCCCCCCAGAAGTAGCACAAAGGTATCCCTCTGGTAACCCTCAGGTTGAAAAGATAGTCATCCTCTGTGAAAATGTGGTGAAAGGTAAGTCAAACTGTGGATCCATTTTATTGCGCTAAAGAATACAAACATTTTAGTATTATTACTGGGTGTGATAAAATGTTCTTTTGTTAAAGCATGTGCAGGATAATCCTGATGCTTACCTGAATACAGAATTTGAAAAGGCTCAGCAAAGGCAGAGAGCATGCTTAAAATTAAGAGAAAAGCACGTGAGTATGAAGAAAAGAGGAAAAGCGGAAATGACCAAGGGATGAGGTGTAATAAAGAGTGGTGCTGAAGTATTCCTTTGGTATTAACACATAGCCCACTGAGGAAAACAGAAAGAAAATCAGGACCTTTTCTCTTTCCTTGCAGCCTGAGGAGAAGGAGGCAATAATTAATGAACCATAAAGCTCCACTCGAGCCTTGGAGCTTGCTGTCACGCTGCAAGGGAAGGGGGGAGTAGTCAGTCTAACACTGTGAGGGTTTTCCCGGAGGGCTGGGTGACTTCATGGCCGCATACGGCACCGGTAACGGCACACGGCCACCGAACAGGGGTAACCGAGTGCTCTGCCGCTGGCTGGAGGCGGGGGGGGACACACAACCCTGCCCCTTCCCTTCCCGTCCCATCCCGCAGC